ACATCGTTTCTCAAAACATTTTCTCTCCATTTAAACCCCCGACATTGGGTCCTAATTTTTCTCCTCCCTCCCCGCTCCCCCCTTCACTCATGAACCCTTGAAAATTTATAAATTATTATTTTATCTTATCTTACACTGTCCAGTGTTTCCTTTCACCCACTTTTCTGTTGCCCATCCCCCAGGGAGGAGGTTAAATGTAGATCCTTGTGATCGATTCCCCCTTTCTATGCCCCCTTCCCTCCCGGTATCGCCACTGTCACCGCTAGGCCTGAGGGGTTCATCTGTCCTGGATTCCCTGTGTTTCCAGTTCCCATCTGTACTGCTGTGCATCATCTGGTCTAACCAGGTTTGCAAGGTAGAATTGGGATCATGATAGTTGGGGGAGGAAGCGTTTAAGAACTAGAGGAAGGTTGTGAGTTTCATTATTGTTACATTGAACCCTTTTAACTGCTTTTGGGAAATTAACTGAGTTTATGGTAAAAAGTCTACCAGCTCATATTAGAAGCACCAAAAAAAAAAAATCCTGGCCCATTTTTCTCATCCTAAAGGCTAGGGATAAAATAAACAAGACCAGAATGTTTTATATAAATGAAATTTTTACTTATGTCTATTAAGTAAACCGCTATCCTAAGCAATCTTGCCTTCTAGAACAGACAAATGCCATGTTCAAAGAAAAGAGTGGAACAAAGAACAAATTCCAAAGATGGAATTTCGATCAGTCTGGGCTTTTTCCCTCTCTTGGGCAGTCTCTGCATTCACCATACCTTAGCCATGAGTGTTGTTCCAAATCCACCCTGGTAGTTATTAGCCGCAGGCACGCCATCCATCACTCCAGGCACAGGATTGTAAGTGTCACTTGACCAACACCGTCCAGAGCTCATATTTAGGATTTTAGCCAACAGTTTGGGGTCAAGCCCTAGCCTGTGAAAGAAAAGTGTTATATGTCAAAATGCACAAGCGAGCTGTGACTTACTTACCAGCATCCTCTCTCCATTTATTATATGGCATAAAAAATCAAAGATTGATATGAGAGTGAAGAAGCCAATCTTAAATGAAAGGTATCAAAACCTATTGATTAAACAAGATCATGTCTGAGCCAGGCCATTTTGAACTTGGAAAAATCCTTCCGTCCTCTCCCGTTTTAAAAAGAAATACCGAACAATTGCATAAAGCTCTGTTGGTTTTTATCCCACTCGCGGGCCTTTGGGTCTTTGGGACCTTGTTGCATTTATGTGTCACATGAGAACCTTAAACCGACCTGACGGACCAATCCCACACTCTTGACTCACTAGCAACATATTTCAAAAGGCAATCATTGATGGACAAATGATGCATCATGGGAGTCCGTGTAGGTGCATTTCTATGTGTGTTTATTCCGTTAGCTTTTATGGGAACAAATGTGAGAGGACCATGGGCAGTAAACGGAGCTAAGGAGAAGTTATCATTATAAAGGAAGATACTATTTCCTGCAAACTTTTCCTTATTTATTAAATCTTCATTAGACAATCTTGCTTATGAAGCAACTCTGCACGGAGCTGTGACATATGCTATCTATTCAGAGACATGCATTATAGTTCTGGGTCAACTGCTGATAAGGTTACTGATCCTGATAAAACACAGCTTGCCCGAGCGGAAACAGCATTTGTTCTATCACTAGGCTGAGGCATGCATGGCTGTTCCGTGTGGACCCAGAAAAAAGAAGAAAAAAAAAACCAAGAACCAAAATGCTCTATTACTTTGCTTCTAAGTATTTTCATGCAGCGTTGGGAAGCACAGTGTGGGTGAATCAAGCTTCAAAGAAAGCGTTACGCCCAGCACTGTCTTGGGTCTTTCAGGCAGAGCTTCCTTAACAAAGAACTGTCACAAGAACGTTCTGCTTTTCTTTAGGCCAGTCAGTGTCTTAGGGGGAAAATATGAACATTCATTTAAAAAAAGAGAAGATTCTTATATAAATGGCAAACAAAGGGTTCATTTTGGCATCCTTCAGATCTTATCAACTTTACACAAAGTCGATGTGCCTGAAATGTGTTTATTTTTCCATTTTCCACAATCTGAGTATCTATCATCCCCAGTGAAACATGTTCCCAATGCTAGGACAGCAGGCGAGGGCTAATGGGCACAAGGGGCATGTACTTAGCAAGCAATAGGAGCATTCGGCCATCAGACTTCCCAGTGGTAGCTGGTGGCATGCCATGTATCTACATGCATTTGATTCAGGCACATGATGCTTAACGAGGGGTTCGTAACCAAGAATCCCACTCAAGACTGAGGACTGCATCTAAACTAGCTGCTTGTTCAACGGAAGACTGCTAGAAGGAAATTCAACCGTTTCATTTTTCAAAGATCCAAGTTTTTGTGTGTTTTGTTTACTACAGATGTTTTCTTTCCCTTTTTAAATAATTAGGCTTATCACTATATGTTAGGGAACAATTGTGGAAAGTAAAGTTACAAATTAACTATTAGTTAATTCTCTATAACTCCAAATATACTCTCTGACCATAAAGTTCAAGAATGTGAATACCTAATGTGCTCCCTAAGCAGGGAATCTTTCTAAAGATTCTCCAAACATGGCTCTTTTTGCAATGTAGGGGCATTCTCATGTACATTTGCTTTTAAAACAGCTCATCGTATTTATAACCTCTCCTCTTTACAATCCAACTGGGCTGAACTCAGCCCAAGAAATTCACACCGTCTCGAATATTTACCAAAACGGTGCGCACAGCTCGATTATCTTAACTTTGGGAAACCCTCCCCCTTTCTTGAATGGTCCAGCACAAACAGGGCGGCCCTGGTTCGTGGAAACCCTCCTCGGAGAACACAGCACATCTAGAAGCAGCATCCTGAGGGACACACAGCCAGCCAGGCGGCAGTTCTTCACTGCTTGCTTTTCAAATCTGGTGGCTCCTCTCTACCATTCTGGCTCCTTAGGAGAAGGCTACTCCCTGCCTGAGCTTCCTCCCCCCACCCTCCTCTCCTACCCCGCAGCAAAGTGAATCATTAAAAAGAGCAAGTTAGAGTGTTTTGCATTTCATCTTTCTGTGGATTCTTTCACTGGCACAGATATAACTGACAGTTGAAATTAGACATGATATTAAAATCAGTTACTGAAGTCCTCTGTCTTCCACTGTGCCCAAGGCTTGTAATGGTCTGCAACCAGCTAGAATACACAGTAATTGTCATTCAGAGAGTCTATCCTAGAACGTCATGCTTCACTGGAGGAGACTGAGTTTCCATTTGAAATCAACAAATTAATCCAAGACAGGTATCTGAAAGGGCAAGTTTAATAGGAAGCAGCTACTGGGCTCTCAACCATGATAAAATGTTATTGCTGTTTCCCTGTAAATTGGCTGGGAACATATGATACTTTCTGCATAAGAGCCCCATTGCTGTTCGGGAGATATACAGCTCAAGCCATCAAAAGGATGACAGTCTGTCAGTCCCCATAATAACTTGCCACTGGACGTGGTTCGAGGGTGCGAGCATGCAAACATGTGACTGTACAATTGCTGGAATGTTCTGTGATACAAACAGAAAATGAATTCATTGCTCTGATTGCATATCTAATGCAACTCAAATAAACGTCAGGGTGTCAAATCTACTCACCTTTAAAACACAGGGATTTTAAATGAACTTTTGGGAAAAGTAAAGATGCACCAACCACAAATAATTAAAAAGAAAACAAACATTTGTCTTCACTGTACCTCTAAGGCTTTAGGTGGCAAAAAAGTTTGTTCATTTTTACATTCTCTCTGACCATCTACATACCATCTGGCTTTATATAATAAAGTGAATTATATCATTAAAATAGGATGTACTTATCAGAGGAAGAGAACTGGACACAAAACATGTAAGACCATGTCAATTTCAATAAATCATTCACTTACTCAACCAATGTTTACCAGAATCTGCCATGTGCAGGTGCTGAGTGAAGCGATGGAGACCCTAACAAGCTAAGGAGAGGCTGCCCTGGTTCCATGAGCGGGTGAGGTAGGCGCCATCTCTAGGTAACTTTGACATTCGCAGCAGGAGAAGCACCATGCTCCATGCCTTCATTCCCTCAAGTGCTTTCTCGTCTCTGCACTCACTGGTTTATTCTCATTGAGGGCCTATTCTTTGCCAGATGACTTCCTAGGACACAGCAACGAGCAGATTGAGCCATTCACCTTCATGGGGCATGTGTGGGCAAGACAGGCAGTATATAAATAAATATAGAGAGCTAATACCAGGCAGTGAGGAGTGAGATGAAGAAAAAACCTAAAAACAGCATTCACTTCAGGGGAAGACAGACAGCATTCCAGGAGAGGGAGAGGAAGAAATGGAAATGGGGGGTGGGTAGGGTAAGCTATTGGAGAGTCTGATAAGTAGCTTTCGTTGTTGAATATACAACTGATGATCTGAGATATGAACCCCACCCAATTCACAATAAAACATATTTAATATATATATCTATAAAATTCCCTTCAAATACCAACCACCACCATAGCCCTACATGACAGCTATCACATTGAGTGCTGACTGTTCCAAGAGCAATTTGAAAAATATTTACAAAGATTAATTCACTTACTCCTCATAACATCTCTATAAATTGATACTGTTATTTTTGACTATAGAAAATGGTTGCTAAGGTTGAATTACGTTTCTGGGGTCACACAGTTTAAGTGTGCAGCAGAGCTGGGATGCAGATCTAGATGCAGATTTACCCATCCTGACGCTCACTGAGTCACACAGGTGGTGAACTTAGCGTTCATCTGTCAGTAGGATAGCATCTGATCAGGGTATTGGGAAATCTGACCAAGATTTTATTACAAACCTCTTGCCATTTGTTCTATTTATTAAGTAAGGGGCTTCACTCAATCTCCTACATGAAAAGGCAACCTCTCCTAAGGGCTGTTTCTAAGAAACTGAAATTATGCTCTTTGGAAAGTTCTCGGCTGGAACAGTCGTGCAGAAGTTCAATGATCTTCAGCTTCCTTGGGTGGGAGAGGAAAGACGGTGGTGGCTGGAGGGTGCTGGTTAGAAAGCCGAGTACCAGTAACTTGTTATACAACAAATCAAAAATCCAATCAGTGCCTGGTGAAGTAAAAATCAGAAGGCAATATCACTGCGTCTAAAGTCCGACCGAGACACTCAGTTAGACTGAGAAAAGGTCGAAACAAAAAAGAATTACAAAGTATGTTGGTATGCCGGTAACAACATTATAAAACTTCACTAATATTTACAAAGACTCACTATAAAAGAGCAACTTGGTCCACGGGATCAGTAAGAATTTTCAGTTGTATGATTTTACTCTTCTATTAAAAAAAAGAGTAGTTGTTTAAAAACAAAACAAACAAACACTACTGACTCGGAGAGTAATCAGAAATGATCACTTCATAGGAACAGGTGACTCAATTTTGTAAATGTTGACACTCATGCTTTCAAAAAAATTTCACTTCAGAGTGAACAGAATATAAATGTGGCTGAACCACTTTGATGCTGTACTATTTGGTGGAATTTACTGCTTGGGAATTTATGCTTGCTGATGCCAATTTTCTCTTTCACCTTGCAAAGCTCAATAAATCGTGGCCGCTCCCTATACTCTATTAGAGAGCAATGCTGTCATTTTACACCAGGTCTGTAAGCGGTGGAGAAAAGACAATAGTGGAAGCACTCATTTTTAGGGCTTTGAATTGGGAAGATAAAGTAAGAGAATCCTAAGGTTATGAAAATAAGCAATTCATTAGGATAACCAAAATCAACAAAAATATATAGATAATTTGAACAGTTAAATAACAACCAGCTATTTTCTCCTTTGTTTTCAGACATTATGTATATACACACTCAGTAATAATCATGTACATAGAGATTTAGGGAAAAAGAACATTTTCCAGTCTCACGTTTCCAATGACTGGTTCTATGAGAGTGGGGGCCTGGCGAACAACATGGAGGCTTCTGCTCTTAATGTGTCTTTTTGGAATTTTATCCACTTTCATTTTCCCTGTGGTAATTAATTCACTGTGACAGTCACTAGCTTTTCACTTCACAGTACAGATCTTATTCTTATTAGCTAGTGCTTGGATTTAGAATTGCTACAAGCACTTGCCCAATACAATAGTGCATTGCCCAATGGCAAGTGATGATGTAGTAGTAGCTTTGACAGGAAAATGATGTGAAGAATGCTAAAGGATATAATACTCTACCTCAGGAATAGTCTGCTCTATTAATCATCAAAGTAAAAAGTAGAATATAAAACTGGCAATAATAAAAGAGGAAATGTTAGTATACAATAGCCAATGTCAATCTATGCTTTATTTATTTAACCATTTGTTCATTTACATCCAGAAAAGTGAAAATATGCTAGAGATGCATATGCATACTAACGCTCTAATCCCTCTGTCAACACCTATTAATTCTATGTGCAATTGTGGTGCCAGAAATTGACATTTTCCTCTTTCATAGAATTAGTTTAGAGGAAAACCAAACTGGAAGCTAGTTTCTCAGTTATGGTTAAGTGCCTCGGAGCCTAAACCTGGCCATAATACAGCCCCGCACAGCTTCTTAGATACTACCAGCTTTATTAAGAATTTGTACAAATATGCCTTATCATCTTATAGACATGCAATTTTGAAATGTAAATGGTACAAGATATTGATAAACCAATTAGCACTGATGCAAAGCAAATTCCTCTTTTATCTCAATTACAAAATGACAACTTAATAGGTCAAGATAGTTTAACATCTGAGACAAGGGCAATTCAATAAAACAACAGCATCTTGATATGGTAATTAAAAGGAAATGTGAATCCATTACTGTGTCTTAAAAATAATACATCTCAAAATGTGTTGGCTCTTTTTATTGCCTTTTATCAAAAGTTGTGACATAAAATAAGACCCTGATTTGTGAAATATCTGGTTTTCAGTAAGTAGCTTTGGGGAATAGGAGTAAAGTACCTGAATAAAGCATCTTGCTAATTAAGCATTTTCTAAAGTGAAAATGTATACGTATTGTATTCATGAAATATAAAACATTCAAAACATTAATTAGGTGATTTATCATATGTAGCATTTCTTAACCCAAAAGATTAGAGGCTAAATTTAAGACATTAACCTTAAGCATTCTAAAAAATGATCATCCGTGGTAAAAACAGAACCCTGGAATCACTCTAAGCAAAGCGAGAGTATCGTTTGATTTTCATAGAAAGCTTCACCCCTAAGGCAAAGTCACTCAAGCACAGGCCAGTGACAACGGGAGTTACGGGGATGAACTGCAGCTTTTGTGGGATGCCATCCAGGGGATCTGGGGCAAACAGCTAAGAGGATTTCTAGTGCAGATTTTGGGGATCATGTTGAAAATAGGTGCAGCAAACCAGTCAGGTGATGGCACGACACTTGAATTCACTAAACTCGTGTTGTACAGATTTGTCCCAACATTACCAAAGTGTTTCAATGTCACAGTAAAAGCATTTCTTGCATTTCAATAGAACAAATGAGGGGCTCACTTTTAAAAAAGAAACAAGGGGGAACGGATTACAGGGATCCACATATAACCCCCTCCCTGGGGGACAGACAACAGAAAAGTGGGTGAAGGGAGACATCGGACAAAGTAAGACATGACAAAATAATAATAATTTATAAATTATCAAGGGTTTATGAGGGAGGGGGGAGTGGGGAGGGAGGGGAAAAATGAGGAGCTGATACCAAGGGCTCAAGTAGAAAGCAAATGTTTTTAAAATGATGAGGGCAACAAATGTACACATGTGCTTGACACGCAATGGATGGATGTATGAATTGTGATAAGAGTTGTACGAGCCCCCAATAAAATGACTAAAAAACAAACAAACAAACAACAACAACAAAATGCATATGCAAAGCACAAAGAAAAAAAGAAAAGTACTTTCACATGCACAGCACAACAGACCTTCCAGCCATGCCAGAGTACTCATGCTCTCCAGGGTCCTACTGCTCGTCCAAAAAGCAGTCTAAGAAAGGTCAATAACGGAGTACCTTTAACACAGTGCTTTCAATGTCAGACAAACAAACAGGAAGGCTATGAAAATAATTTGCATGTGAAAATGTTACTAGTCAACAAACCTGATTCCAAGATTCATAGCTTCCGCAGTTCCAATCATACTAATAGCTAGTAGCATGTTGTTGCAGATCTTTGCAGCCTGGAAATAAATTGAGTTCAGAGTAAATACCTTTATTGCCAAGTGATCACTCAAAGTTTAAATTTTATTCAACCCGTGTGGGGAACTTCTTTGTACAAGTGGAGCAGCCAACTGTTTTTCTTTTTCTTCTCACAAATGGGGGAGGAGAATGTAGTACTGACTGTCCCTCTCTGAACTTAAACGAACACACTATCACATACAGACTGGGAAGAGGGGGCTCTTCCACGCAGCAATAAGCCCTCTCTCAGTGGTGAGCAGGCTCCCACTAGGGCTCAGCATTATAGGGATTACTGATCTAAATGGCACAACTGTTCTTTACGGGCTGCAGCTGACGGATCTAAGTGGGGAGAGGGGAGTAATATACTAAATGAAAAGGCAACCAACAGACTCACACACACAATTAAGCAGCAAATTAGATAGTAGAGTCTGTTAGAGAGAGTAGGCATTTAAAAATGTAGGATTGCTGAAGGCAGGCGCAGAAAAAGAAGATGTCTTTAGAGGAAGTGGAACCTGAGATCATTTCCCATAAAGCCAGGCAGGATTAAAGGAGGCAAGAAAGAGAAAGAAGGTGTTCGGGGAAACAGTGACTAGACAGGAGGAAATAACTCCACAGGGTTCTAGGCTGTTCCTGCAAACAGTAAGAAACGTGACACAGGCAACTGTTGTAAGGAATCAGGAGGACTTTGCTAGTTAAGACTGGGCCAAGAGCTACAAAAGCTAAGAGAAAGAGTTGAATTCTCATCGTGGCAGGAAAATGGCAGCTGTTCCGTTTCTGAATGGGAAGCCCTGCAGTGGTACAAGCATCTTGATGGGGTTGGTTTGGGTCACACTGCTGGGCACGATGGTAAAGCTGGCATCTAGCAGCCAGGCCCTCGAGCAATCTAGAAGGTATGAGACAATGAAAGACTGGACCAGGGAATGTGTAGAATGGACTAGGTGGTCAACAGTGAGAGCCACCAAACCAAACTGCAAAACTGAAGACCGACTGGACAGAGGGATAGAAAAAAATAACTTTAATACCAGTGTCTCAGGTGAGATACTAGTGATCAGGACAAAGCATTAGGAGGAGCGAAGGTGGTGAGTGATCATGCATGTATGTGTGTGTGTTGGAGGTGAAAGTATGGAGTATCTAGCTTGATTTCAGACTAAACATATTCAGTAGTGTCAGTCATGTCTAAGTTTCTACGTAAAAATTATCTCTGTTTTCAAGAAAAAGACGACAGTGCGTACGTCGATTCTATCTGCCTAGACTACAAGGACTGAGCTGTAGCCAGGACTTCCCGAACTGAGCCCTTTCAATCGGTCTAAGGATGATTTCCGCGGTCACTCGGATGACCCGTCAAGATCCTAATGATGAAACGTCCCTCAGCTCTCTTCATAAAACCTCAGTCGGCGGAAAGCACCCAGGTTGCAGATACTAATTTATTCCAAATTAACTTACGCAAGCTCAGCAAACCAAGAATCCAGGTTGAATGGTGTAGGGAGGAATATGAGTGTGGTTAAGATAGGTGATTGGACGTGTTGAGCCCACTTTACATCAGTCACTCAGGGTCATGAATGTGAAACGATTACCTGCCCAGTGCCAACGGCTCCACAGTACAACACATTGGAGCCCATGCACCCCAGCAGCTCCTTGGCAGCAGCAAATTCCTCTTCAACTCCTCCCACCATAAATGTGAGGTTCCCGGATCGGGCAGCTCCCACACCTGAGTGGTTTAAGCACAAGGGATGGGGCCAAGGAAACATTTCTTAGAGTAGGAAATAAAATTAAAGAGAATTCTCAAAATGAAATAAAAACAGCTTTGAAGGATTTAAAGGGGTTGAGAACCAGCTTCTGACTTAGCACAGAAAATGTAGCCTCGACCTGTCCTAGAGAAAGGGAGGAGAGAAAGGGGGTCACTCCCTCCAGTGCACTGTACGCCGCCCTGGGTAAGACAGTCCACCCCTGTGTGAGGGATTCCGTGGCCAGCAGGTATCACACGGGCTACTCACACACCCAAGGAGGCAGACCCAGTCGGTCACCCCACACCCACAGTGCATCTCAAATACTGTGACACAAACACACCACCACACGGACAGAAGGACGCCTGAGCCTGGAGTGTTATTCCCACACATCTAGTAACTGCCCTTAGGAACCCATTCAGTCATAAAAAGTATACCCTCTCTGCCCTGCCATCGCCATCCCCTGCCCCCCACTAACCACCCCCCACCAAAAAAAAAAAAAGGTTTCTCTGTGTCCTGGCCTGCACAGGAGCAGGACACACCCCAGACGACACGCTTTTCCTGTGTTCAGGTAAAGGAACATGCTGCTCTATTCAGGCTGATTACTCTGAGGTGTACTTTCCAATGTCACTGGATGTTTTTCTTTTCCCTCCGGGTACACACCGTTCAGACATTTTATCCCTAAGGATATGTGCCAGAAATAAACAGTAGCTTTACTCCTCCAAAGCAGCTTTTAACAAAGGTTTGGTACATGTTCATAGATTTAAATGATATAAGAAATATCTTCTAACTTACAAATACAGCCAACGGTTGTCTGGAAGAAAGGGGGGTGGGAATGCTTCACACATCTCAATTTTTAGTATTTGAGGAATCCTAATTCATAAATTTCAAGTGAAGTTTTGCTGTTCCAAACCAGAAAAGGAATTGGAAGAGCTGCATTAATATAATTTTTGCTTTTACAACCTTTTTACAGTACAGCTAAGAATAAAGAAACCATAATTGTCTGTACCATATATCAAACCTGGCCCATTAGAATAGACAGCTGCAAGTAATGGCCTACTTTTGAATTTAATATATTCAAGGAAATACACAGTTTTTATACATTATAAAGCCCAAGTGAGGAGATTCATATTTCATTCCAATTGTGAATGTTTGGCTCTTGCCAAATCAAGAAGCCTTTCTATTTTACAGTTCATGCTATTTTTGACCAATTATTGAGAGCGAGAGAAGTCAGCATTGTGCTAGCCAAACAATCTTGGAAGAGTGAGTGGACACATGTTATGAGAGTAGGAGATGCTTAAACAAATGGTTAAGTCACATTATCTGAAAGTATCTGCAGACACTTTGGAATTGATTATGTACAAAAACCCAATTATAACAAGTGCTTTTAATGAGTCAGTCTATGCTATTTGAACATTCTGATAATGCTGGAAGTTTAAATGACTGTCATTTTGTTAGCTTCTAATTTACTTCACTAAGAGGGTGAGTCATTAATGCTCACAATTATTCTGTCCCATTTCTATAGCTATTTTGATTCAACCCACATGACCACCCTCACTCCTGATCCTGCTGATCTGACCTAGAGAAGCTAAGTAGACAACTTAAGTCAGCGCTTACAAACAAATCTTTCACTATCCATCATAGGTCAATCGCTTTGTATCTAGATTACAGACTGCTAAATAGCTTCAGAGAGTCGTTTATTACAGGAAAAGTAATGCTGACAATGGTTCTCAGCTGGTTAGTCTTTTGACAGGTGCACTTTCTCACTAGTTCAAACACATATTTCAAAAAGAAGAAATAAGTTACTTAAGCAAGAGGAGACCACAAGGGAAAAGGACAATTCATCGTTCAATTCAGAGGTCTGTGGTATTTCCACTTCTTCCTCCTTTCTGAGGGGTGCTAATTGTTCCTGGCTTTATCACAACCTACCTTCCAGGGCACGAGTCCGATTAAACTGGGTGACACAGCTTATGCCTTCTTCAAGACCAGCTCCTTCCAGTCCATATATACGGGTAAGAAAGAGCATTGCTACTAGGGTTTTCGTTCCTATGTGCATGGGTGTATCCCAAAGAAAACAAGTTTGAACACAGCTCTGTGACAGTGGACAGCTGCAGACAAGTTCTCTTAGTAATACATGTCTTCATCTCATTAGGGTGACTTCCAAAAAAGGGCAATCAAAACAGTGGCTTCTAAGGGCTCTGCTTGGCCAGTTACATTGAAGGCAAAGATATCCACTCAGATTAAGCTGACTGTTTTGGTGAACTCCACGGGGGTCATCTTGACAGATCTTCTGAAAGAATACAGTGTTCTGGGGGCTTATTAAAAGAAATTTCAAAATTGAAAAACCCACTGATGAGAAAACAGCCAGGAAAGCTTTCCCAGGGAAATAAATAAAGGCTGTTCTGCAAGGATTTCCTCCAAAAACCTTAACCGGCCCACAGGGGAGCCCCGGGTTTGCCCCTCAGACTCCTTTGTAGCCCAAATTCCAAGGGCATTTAAAAGAAACACAATTTGCGTCACAGGGATTGCAAGCATGTGGTTGTGAAGGGGTATAAATCGTAGTGCGCAGATTCTCCCAGGGAAGTTTACACAGATGGGCACACTGCCTGCGGAGGTGTACAGACCAAGATGGAGGAGGCGTTGAGAAAAAGAGGTTCTCAACCTGCTATTTCAGTCTGCTGAAAGTTTCTAGGGTTCAGCAGCAATACTTTTTGCCTGGTATTGTTCTTAGGTGCCAAGTCAGCCCCAACCCGATGTACAAGAGAACACAATACTGCCCGGTCCTGGGCTATGCTCACACGCAGTGTTATGTCTGAGCACACTGTGTCAAGCCGCCTCTGTGTCAAGTCATCTCCCTGAGGGGCTTCCTACTTTTTGCTGACCCTCTACTCTACCAAGCATCAATCACATGCTTCTCCAGGAATCGTCTCTCATGACACTAAGGAAGTGGGATGAAGTCTTGTCACACTTGTTGCCAAGGGGCACGCTGGCTTTACTTCAAGACATCTGCTTGTTCCTCGGGTCATCAGTGGCACTTGCAATGTTCGACATCAACAAAAGGCATCGGTCCATCTGCAGTGGTCCTTATTCATTGTCCAGCTCTCGCACGCGTATGTGGTGACGGAAAGTAACATGACTTGGGGCGGTGGTACCTTAGTCCTCAAAGTGCCGTTTTTGCCCTTTAACCCTTTAAAAGAGGCTTATGGAGAACTGCCCAATGCAATATGTTGCTTGATCTCTTGACCGCTGCCTCCACGAGCACTGACTGTGGCCCCCAAACCCCTGGAACCCTTGACTTCCACCTTTTCTGTTTATTTATCGTGACGGTTTCTGCTGGTCTACTTCTGAGGTGTGGGTTTCCTGTACATTGAGTTGTATGGAATCCATACTGAAGGCGGCGGTCCTTTGTTATCAGCAAGTGCTTCAAGTCCTCCTCACTTTCAGCAAGCAAGGTTGTGTCATCTGCAGATCACAGGTAATTAATAAGCCTTCCTCCCATCCTGATTCTTTTTCAGACAGTCAACTTTATCAGACTATCTGCTTGGCATACAGATTGAATAAGTATGGTGAAAAGATATAGCCCTGATGCACATTTTTCCTGATTTTAATCCCTAGTGCACATCTTTCCCTATTTTAAACCATGTGGTGTTCTCTTATTGTTTTCTTAAGACTGCCTCTTAGTCCCATTCTCCTCTCTGGTTATTAGCACCTACAGAGGCAAATGCAAGTGTCTTTCTGCCATTCTCTGCCATGAGTCAAGATCCGTCTGACATCAGGAATGATCCCCCTCGTGCCACGTCCTAGTCTTCATTCAGCTTGAATTTGGGGACAGCTCCCTGTCAATGTGCTGCTGCCACTGTTGTTGAACTGTCATCAGGAGAAATACAGTCACTCACAACCACTGAAGACAAAGCGGGTGAATAAGCAAATGTGGTGAAGAAAGCTGATGGTGCCCAGCTATCAAAAGATATAGCTTCTGGGGTCTTAAAGGCTTGAAGGTAAACAAGTGGCCATCTAGCTCAGAAGCAACAAAGCCCACATGGAAGAAGCACACCAGCCTGTGTGACTATGAGGTGTTGAAGGGATCAGGTATAAGGCATCATCAGAACAAAAAATCTTACCATAGTGAATGAAGGGGGGAGTACATAGTGGAGACCCAAAGCCCACTTGTAGGCCACTGGAGATCCCCTTGCAGAGGGGTCTCGGGGAGGAGACGAGCCAGTCAGGGTGTGATGCAGCAATGATGAAAAATACAACTTTCCTCTAGTTCCTAAAAGCTTCCTCCGCCCCCCACTATCATGATACAAATTCTACCTTGCAAGTCTGGCTAGACCAGAGGATGTACACTGGTACAGATAGGAACTGGAAACACTGGGACTCCAGGGTGGAAGATCCCTTCAGGACCTGTGGTGTAAGTGGCGATACTGGGAGGGTAGAGGGAGAGTGGGTTGGAAAGAGGCAACCAATGACAAGGATCTACATGTGACCTCCTCCCTGGGGGACGGACAACAGAAAAGTGGGTGAAGGGAGACATTGGACAGGGCAAGATATGACAAAATAATAATTTATAAATTATCAAGGGCTCATGAGGGAGGGGGGAACAGGGAGGGAGGGGAAAAATGAGGAGCTGATGCCAGGGGCTTAAGTGGGGAGCAAATGTTTTGAGAATGATGAGGGCAATGAATGTACAAATGTGCTTTACACAATTGATGTATGTATGTATGGATTGTGATAAAAGTCGTATGAGGCCCTAATAAAACGATTAAAAAAAAAAAAGATACGGAGCAGGGCTCAAGTAGAAAGCAACTGTTTTGAGAATGATGGCAACAATTGGACAAATATGCTTGACACAATGGATGCATGTATGGATTATGATAAGAATTGTATGAACCCCCAATAAAATGATTTAAAGAAAAAAATACGGTCACTGTGTATTCCTCCCATATTCTTTTGATGCTTCTATCATTCACTATTTATCCATAGA